TAGCAACGAAAATAATTTTATGGTTGGGGGTCACCACAACATGAGGAACTGTATTAAGGGGTCGCGGCATTAGGAAGGTTGAGAACCGCTGCTCTAAAGCACCAGTTCTATAATGTTTGTGCCTCTGGCTCGGCTTCTCGATTTCCCATATAACCTCATATCTCAGTGTTGTATAGAACTGTCTTCTCCAAATTAGCAAGAATAAATGCAAAAGCGCCATCACTCAACTAATTATAGCAAACAGTGACTATTTTTTTCTAACTGCCTTACCTAGAAACTCAGTATTCTCAGAGTTCTTAGCAAATTATCAAACACTTACATTTGTAACAAACATTTAATTTTATGGTTTGCATGGCACCCTCATGTTGATGCTCTGCTCAAAGACTATAATTTTAGTGCTTGCGCTTCAATGATTATACATAAAACGGCAACTTGCTCTTTCCAACATGATGCATTTAATTTAGTTTATCTAAAATTAAGTTCCAGCTAGATTACTGATAATGGTATTTTAATGGTAAATTTATGAAGCATTTGCTTAATTGCATAATTCTATCCATATGACAATGACTGGGGCAGGGATCTGCACATGGTTTAGAGGGAATCATGGGAAGGTGTGGAATTAATAGAAAGAAAGGCTGTCTTTTTTTTTTCCTTTGGCTCAGTGCGAGCCTGGGAAGATGCAGGCCTACCTTTTGCTGTTAGCAGTAATCCTGCCACCAACCACAGCCCAACATCAAAGATAACTTGAAGAAGAGAGCTGAATTCTAATGTCAGTGTGAGCACCTGTATCAGCCTCTACCTGAGGCAACTCTACACCTGGCCTTGCACATAAGTGAGCCTAAGATGCTTTTTCATGTTCAAGTCCATGACTTAGATTGATGTGACCTGGAAACCAAAAAGACCAAACTGACTCATTCTTGCAAAATGAACAAGATAGGAAGGAAGCTACAGACAGGACAAATATTAGCCACTCTGTTTTTATTTGGTGTTCAACACACTTTGCTTCCCAGAGAGAAAACATACAGTCTGAGGTATCTCATTTTAATAAGTCCCCTGCTTCTGGCTTCACATCCTGAATTTCTATGCCCATTAATCAAGGTTTGGTACCGTCACATAGTGGTTAAAATGTTTCCCTGAGATCATTGAGGCTGTGCCACAGAATATCTTGCCCTACCAAAATTCAGGAGAAAACATGGGAAACCAGAAGTCTTTTGGTGGTGGAAGAGGCAGACAACGTAGGTAGAATTCCTGAGGAAAAAGTGTAGAGTCAACCAGACCACTAATTAGAATTTCCCTGGCTGCGGACTATTATCTCTTCAACATCTCCAAACATTCTAGAAGGGAAATTCATCTTATTGCATATAATAATGAAAGACACTTTATCATAGCGCTGTGCGCAAAGCATCTCGGCTTCTGCTGACTACCAGAGCCATCCTGAGGCCTCAGCTTCCAGTAAAATGCAGAGCTGATGAGGTATGGACAGTCTTTTCCCAGTGGCATACAGGAAAGAGAAAAACCCAGACATGGATGATAAGCCAAAAATGGTTATCACATGATGGACTCAGTCAGGCCTACAGTGTTTTTCAAAGTGGTTTGAAATCAAAACAGCTTCTGATCCTCCACAAGTGGGAATGAGCAGAGACTTACTGGATTATCACCTCAACTCCCAGCCAAATCAAGCCACAAAGCTTAAGGCAAATGGACATCAACACAGCTTTCCAGTCTGGGTGCACTGAGAGGCAAGTCGGAAGGGAACGCAACTTCTAGCAGCCCCTCCTGAGTTGCAAGAAATCCCATTGTGGGCTGGAGCCAGCTAGGTGGGATGGGTCATTCTTGCATTTTGTTGTCACTCTTCCACCCACCCATCCCCCTAAAAAAATGGCACAATGGAATGTCTGTGTTCCCTAAGGAGGGCTTCCCTTTTGAAAAACAAACAAACAGAAGTTTCCCTAATCTGTCGCCTATTCAATAGTGGAAGAAAGCAGCCGGTTCTGGGGTGGAGAAAGGGGGAGAGGAAGCCGGGGCGTCACACACACACTCAGGGCTGCCACGCTGGAGAGCGTGCCACCTCTGAACACGGGAAACTGAAAGGAAAGCTGAGAACTCGTGGGTTGTGGCACTTGCGGAGACGTCGTTCCACGGACACCAGGTTTCCAGTCGCCTTTCTTAGGTTTTCTTGAGGAAGGTCTGACAGGCTTTTGCCATGTCTTTCAGGAAGTTAGGAACTCCATTCTGCAAAGCAAAGGAGACTGTCACTTCTATGTCCTCACAGTAGCCACGCCTGATCCTTTGGGATGTGACTGTGGGAAACAGAGATGGCTTGTGGAGTAAGAAAAGACAGTAGGGCCGTGGGCTGGATTTCAAAAGAATGGTGCCACTGGTAATGACAAAGGCTAAGATCCAGGGCGTGGGTGACATTAGATGACAGAGGCCACTGGTGCAGGGCATTGCCTGTATTTTGGCTTTTACTGGTAGAAAGTTAAGACATTCCTGAGATACCGTTTTTTTGAAAAGAAAGAAAAAACACAGGAGATGGGATTGGGCTGGGTTGTTTATTTCTTCCAAAGAAATGAGAAATAGGACTTGTTCTACAGAATTAGAAAATGCTAAGAATTTGGGGGCAAGACGTTGGATATGTCATTATTAACTTAATGTTGAGCATTGTGCAAAACTTTCCCCAAACATTGGCTTATTTACTCCCACTCTGTGAGGTAGGGAATATCTATCTCCATTTTTAAAATGGAAAAAACTCAGTGGCTTCCATAGATGACATAGTCAAAGCAGGGCCAGGATTCAAATTCGCAATGGGTTTGACCCAAAGCCTATGTGCATTTTCACTCTCCCAGGGAGTTTCAGCCAGGAAGTAGAACCGGCACAAAGCAGGCTGAGTACCCCCCATGAAGCCAGGCTCCTAGGCAGTCTCTAATGATTTGGGCAACCACTGTAGTTCCCTTTCCTTACCGAACAGCAAAACAAAACAACAATAACAAAACTAGAGGCTTTCCCCAGGCTTGGAGATGTCTGTCTCGGAAGCCAGGTCAGCCTGTCTTATAAGTAGATACAGGGCCCAGAGGCACCATTGTTCCTGCAAGGAGCCGGCTATTGTCCGGAGGTTCCAGAGAATGAGCCTGGCGGGGTCTCAGGGCACTGGCAGGGAGGGGCTGGCATTCCAGCTAAGGAGCCTTTTGTCTTTTGTCCCAGCCTCGTCCTGGGTATTGGCAACCCCAGTCCTAACCGTGGTCACTCAACCAAGCTGCTTCATAAAAGAGCCTCATTAGGCTTGAGACAGCGTGTCTCTTCAGCCTGACAGCCCCATGGGCTAAGTCAACATTTGTCAAACACACTTGCCCCTCCTGCCTCCAGGGATCTCACCTTGGCAGCCCAGTTAATGAGCCAGGACGGAATTTGGCCACCCGGGTTATCGAAGTAATACATGAAAACTAGAGGGGGAAAAGAAAGAACAATTCAGAAAGGAGAAAACATGTTAGAAACGTACAGCAACAAGCCCTGCAAACCTTCCACCTTCAGACTCAGACCCAGGAAATGAGGGGAGAGGTAATATGTAACTCAGGTGGACTTCTTATCTCTACCCTCTTTCAGGATATGGATATGTAAACATTTCTGACAACATAGCCACAGGTACATTTTGCTGCTATTTATTAAACATCTGACAAGTACTAGACACTTGGATATAGTCTCTCATTTAATTATTTATCTCATTCATGATCCTAACAATCCTAAGGAGTTGGTGACATTAAACCCCAGTTTATAAATGATAAAATGGAGACTCAGAAAAGTTAGTTGATATGTCAAAGTGACAGATCTAACAAGCATCAGAACTACGGTCCAAGATTGTGGGAGCTGTGTCCCCGAGATAGTCCTGCAGTTCTTCCCCGGCCCCCAGACCTGGTGGCGGATGAGCCAGGTACATACATATCCACAGCACCAGCCTGAAGTCATTTCTAAAGCCTTCTGGTTCATTTTGATGTTCAAACTTCATCTGGACAAGGCATGCGTCAGTAGAGGATGGAGTGAGATTTAAACGTCCATTTTGCACTCCTGCCAATGTGAGGCGAATTGCGTCTCTCCCCAGGCGTTCCTCCCAGGTTGTTTTGCACCCCGGTCCATTCCCCGACCTCAGGGAACAAGCTGCGTGTTTCCGTGCCTCGCAAGCAGCACGACCTTCACGTGGGCGGCCCTGGCCAGAGCCCCAGCATGAGCCCGGGCTTTACCTTTGCTGCCCTTCTTGCCATCGCTCTCGATCGCCAGGCTCTGCTTGTACCCGTTCACCCGGATCACGCCTGGCCTCTCGGCAAACTGCGGCACGGAGGCGCTCCGGGCCAGGACCACATGGATCTTCCGTCCTTCCACGTCCAGCTCTCGCCGCTGCCGGATGTAGACATACTGCACCGCCAGTCAAGGCACGACGTCAACGCCAGCGTTTCAGATGGGCGGGAGGAAAGCCCCACAGCCTGAAGCAAGGGAGGGGATGCTGTTCCCCCCACCCGCATTTCCTCCTCGTACTTCAGTGACCTGCCTTGTCTCCCTGTGTGCGCTGCAAGACTGTGCCTCATACCACCTGGCATGCTCATTCCAGAGCGCGCATTACCCACCCGTGAATGATGCCTTGCTGCTTCTAATTATGTGGGGAAACCAGTCTTCCTTTCTCTAAGAAGCCACCGGAAGATATCAGAGGATCGACCACCTATTACCGTGTTTCCCCCAAAATAAGACCTAACTGGAAAATAAACCCTAGCATGATTTCTCAGGATGCTCGTAATAGAAGCCCTACCCCAAACATAAGCCGCAGTTAAGATGGTCAGCCAGACATGACTGTTTGAATAAATGTAGATTTTTGTACATGAATAAATGAATAAATGTAGATTGTTGGAGCAAAACTTAATATAAGACCCGTTCTTATTTTCGGGGAAACATGGTAGTTGTGTGATCCTGGGTTAGTTACTCAATTTTTCTGAGACTCAGTTTCCCTATGTAGGAAAAGGGAGTAACATAGTCCAGCAGACACGCTTGGAGGGGGCATTAGAGAAAGACTGACGCTGAATGAGTACTCGATAAACAATGGGGTCATTCCACTTTGTCTTGCCCCCCTCCAAAACTCTAATTACTGACCTCTACACCCAGAGGACGGTCGAGCAATGTCACTTCCAACTGGCGATCACAAGAAGACACGTGAATACCTGAATATTTAGTAGGCAGAGGTCCTCTCTAGGTTACCTCTGGTTCACCAAGAATAACAAAGCCATGTCATCTCAGTAAACACAGAACAACCACTATGTCTATATAGAGGCACTATTCATGGAAGATAATCCTAATACACAATCAGTCACCACCTACTGAGCCCTCACCATGAAATAAGCATGACGTGCTTTACTTACAGCATCAGTTTTGATCCTGACAAAATCCCTGTGAGTTCAGTATAAGTATCCCCATCTTAAAGCTGTCAAAGTTACATCAGAGAGGTAAAGAAACTTGCCCAAGTTCCCATAGCCCAACTGAAGTTATAAAACCTGGATTTGAACCCAGATCTGACTTTGAAACCTAGTTAGACTTTCATAGCTGGACAGGGCTCAACTCTTTGTACATTACATTTTCAAATGACAGGATTTTAGGTCTAATACGAGAAGGCATGAAAAGCCTAAGACAATAAAAACCATCATTCTAAGGTGAACACAATTACACTTATTATAACAGCAACAACCACAGCCCCGTGCCCCCGCAGAGTCTCGACAGCGCCCATGGTCGTCCCACCCCTCACTCAGGCGCTTTGCAGGACTGTCTTCCCCCGACTGTCTAAGTAATGAGGAGTGGAGCTTTTAAAGTTTTAGGGAAGAAATGATACTGCTCTGGTTCTGGTTTTCCTCTCCCCCATACTGTCCCACTCTCTCCCACAACTTACTCAGCCCATGTGATAGACATCACCTGACACTCCACTGAGGAAAAATTCACTTGATATAGTGATTAAAATCTGGCAGAGGTCTTCGAAGGATTGGAAGTCCCAGCGTGCCATATTACCTAGGAGAACCACCAGTTCACTGAGGCCCAGAGACGTGAAAGGTTTTTTCCTAGGTCACACAGCACAGCAGAAAATGGGCACACACTCAACTTGGGCCCTTTCCTCCAAAACTAATGTTCTTTACCACTGCACTTTTCTCTGTTCTCAGAAATGTAACAACCCTTATTGGAGAGACATATACGATATATAAATACCAAGAAACTCATTATGGGATTGTGTGGCATTGGAAAGCCAGTGAAATAGAAATTTAAGGAGCCCCAAGTGTCCACTCCTGAGAATACCTACCTAGCCATGTCCCTGTGAGGTCAGGGAGGAAGGATCAGGGCCTGGTCAAGATTATCATCGCTGCAGACAGCTGGACCTAGGTCCCAAACCTGCTGACTAGCTGTGTGAACCTGAGCCAAGTTGTGCACTGCTCTTTGCCTCAGTTGCCTTAACTGTGAAATGGGGATGATGGTGCCTACCTTGCACAGTTGTTGGCAGGATTAGAGAAAACTATATCAAATCTCAGGGATTAAGTGATTCACAAATTGTTAAAATACACACTATGTGTAAGGAAACTGTCTAGCAATATGTGGGAATTGTGCCAAGAAAGAAACCCTTATGGAGTTTACCATCTGGTTGGAGGCCAGAGGAGACACATATACTTAGACACAAAAACACATACAAACCATACACACAAAACACATCCACCTGCTCCTTCTCTTTCTAGAGAATAATTATTTAGGAACATACAGGCTTATAGAATCTTAGAGCTAAAAAAGACCCCAGCGATCACCTAATTCAGTGGTTCCCAAAATTTAGTTTTTAATTCACAAGACCCTTTGCTAAAAGGATCTTCCTTATATGGAAATTCATTGTGTAAGACACTCAGCTGTTGTGATTGAAGAGGGAAGTGAGGAATCAAAACATCACCTAACATCATCCTACACCCACCCTACTCTCCCAGGCTGGTCCGAAGCAGTCTTCTTAGAACCTAGGAGTGCCAGCGAAAACTCCCCACATTCCATTCAACTGCTTCTTATCATAAAAGAGGACATTGAGAAGAAGCATATACCCGGTGTCCAGAGCCAATCGTCAGTGAGGGATCTCTGTGGGGTCAATAAAATGGGAGGGGGGATGAGAGATCTGGAATTACGGGGACCTGAGATTCGGTCCCCAATCTTCCACTAACCACCTGTAAGGATGCCTCTGTCATTTTCCCTCTCTCTAGACTGAGGGAGTGTATTAAACACTCTTTAGAAACAGTGCTTCCCAGATCCCCAGTTCTGTGGCCCAAAAATTTCAAGCCCTAGAAAACTGTCTCAAGAAAGGATGAGCAGCCCTCCAATGACCACAATCACAGATGCTCCACATGGTCAGGCCCAGGAATCACACTCTGAGGTCTCCTAAAGCCACACAAGAGGCAGTAGCTCTAGGAGATTCTTGCAGTAGCTTCTGCAAGAATCAAAGACAGTGTTGTCCACACCTGTGGGACATACTACCACCGGGTCATGGCCACAGGAACAGCGGCACTTAGAAAGCTGAGGATCAGTGCACCTTGGGAAAGGATACATCTCTGTTGGACATAGGGAAAGGGTATTTCACTTCCCAGTAGACCACGGTCTTGCCGTCGCATTCTTTTTCATAGAGTTCTAAGGAGAACAAAAAAAGTTAATGCATCTGAAACTTCAATTAACAAGAAGCCTAGGTATGATGCCCTATAAGCCATGAACACATCAGGCATAGGATTCTAGGAAAAAATCAGGCACATTCATTACTACTGAAAGTTTGTTGGCTAGGGGCACGGTCTAGTAGATATAACAACACCGTAAAAATAAAAGAATCCAACAAAAACTTGTCCATGTCATAGCACAACCAAGATTCTCGACAGAATGCAATGAGACACAGGCATCCAAAAATAAATTTTCAGGTTTTAAAAATCACGGTGACCACCAGATGTCGCTAGAGTACCAATAGTTTTGCTTTTGAAACCTTTCTTCTCTCTAGGGTTTAGGACATTACAGGGAGCCCTGGACTGAGTCACTCCCATCTCATGTATTTAGCTGGGAAATGAAGGTTCCAGAGAGGGCAGTGTCCTTCCTGAACAGCCAGAAAGTGGCATAACTGTGGCTAAGCCTAAGTTTCTTGCTTCTCTCCCCTGTTTCTTTACACGACACCACAGCTACAGTGAGCACATTTCCTTAATATTCCATCAGGCTATTGTGTGCAAAAAGCAGCCATCTCTTGGAGGAAGGCAGCAAAGGAATTTCATAACATGTGCATCCTGTGACCCCATGCTGTACAGTGAGTTTCTACATAACCATTTAGAGAAGACGGCAAGCCAAGGCTGCTGAAGAAACCAAGGGAGTCCCTTGAGGAGATACTGATGGGGGAAATGTATTATTAATTCAGCTTTTGAAACAAAATGTATTAGAAGTAGACCATGGATGAAAGAGCTTGCCAGCCCATTGGGGCCACAAGGACTGAAGACAGCGTTGGAAGGGGAAGGAGTGAACGTGCTCAGCACTGACTCTCCTCTTGGACCGGCATCTCAATTCTCCTTCAGGGCATCACGCGCCCCCTCCTTCTCGACTGGGTGGTTTAAGCAGAACTGACCCAGCATCAGTTTCAGGACTGGGAAAGTGAGCAAGACATGGCCTGGGGTGGTGCATCTGGCCAGGGCCTTAGCTTGCCGCTCTAGCCGGGTTAGGCTGAAAGGCAGTTTAGTAAAGGCTCACAGGTAGCTCACAGAATATCCAGGAGCACCAGAATTAGGTTAGAACCAGAGAAGCCAATCTGCTGCTGCCCCTGGACCAGACACCGCAGCTTGCACTGCTTATGGCAGGTACCAAACATCAGAGGCTCTGCAACTCTTTTCCCTACAGTCAGAGGCTTAGCTGTGTCCGTCATGGGAAAATGAATTCTGCACACTGCCTGCTTCCTCCTGTTGCTGTTTCCCAAACTGAAGCCACATGTGCATGTCATGGGCAACTTCTACATCACATGACTGAACCACGGCTGCTAGGGAGACTGGGACAGAGAACGTCTGGTTTCGCCTCTGGTTTCGCCCTCGGATAGGTAAGTGTCATAATTCCCCCCCATATAGGAAGGGTATCTGAAAACACTAAAAGGCCCAAAACCATGACAAATGTCCACAGGAAATAAGCACATGGTCCATGCTAGGATGATGACAGCCAACCCTGGGACTCTGGCTGCCCCCAGTAGGAAACTGGAGTTTTTGTTCCTGTTCCTCTGAGGATATACACATGGTTAGAATAGAAGCCTGGATCTTCCGGTAGCCATCTTTTCCACGACACAGGAATCTGCCTAAGAACTAGGTCAACACAGAAGAAAACAGAGTCAAGAGATGGAGAAATTATTTAAGAATTGGATGCAGCCATCCTAGAAGCTGGAAACCCATGGCGTTTCCAATGCCATGAACCAATAAACTTTTTTCTTTTCTTACACTGGCATTTGTTAGTTTTTTGTTACTTGCAACCAAGAGTCCTCAGTACAGCAAGGGTCTTTCAGAGCTCATTTGCCCTTTGGCAACTCCGCGGTTCTATGCCACTGTGACTGAGATGGCAGAGGCCACTGTCATGATCCTCTACTCAATGCCTTTTATAACGCTCCATTACTTACAGAGTAAAATCTAAGAACTGCAGACTGTGGCCAGTCTAGGCCCTTGGGGATCTGAACCCTCTGCCCACCCTAGCTCCAGATTCTGTCCCAAGTGGCTCACAGTTTTGAACAAACCATGCTGTTTCATGCTTGCCTGACTTTCCTCATGCTGTTCCCTGGGCCTGGCATGCCCTTACACTACTCATCTCCTTAGCCCCTCACATAATGTGTTCTTGTTGTTTATAAAACTTGGATTCAACTTCCAAAACAAAGCTTGGGCACCGTCTCCTCCAAGAAGCCTTCCATGACACCTAGGGATACAGAATGACAATCAGCTTCCAGAGAGAACAAAATAGCCCTCAGAGCAAACTGGAGTGTAGATCTAAGAGTATGCAAGGAGCAAGTCCTAGGAACAGCAGACACATTTCGGCCCAGCCCTTAAGACTTTTATACCCAGATTAAAAATGAAACATCATGTAGAAAATAAATCCGTTGCTGTATACTGGCTAGAATAAATAACAATAGATTCTACTTTCCAACTGTTTTTTTTTTTTTAAATAGCAGATGTTACTCACCTTTCACATATTGGTCCCACTGTTTTCTGTAGCTTAAGTCCATATAGACGTCCGCGAGTAGAGCCGGCGGGCAGTCCTCCAGAACCCCAAACACTTTATACTCATAAAGTCCAGTCTGCTGTAAAGACAGAACAGGCAGAAACAACCTGTTGATTCCAAGTTGAGAAACAGCGGGGTGACAGAGCATATGAAAAACAGCTGAGGATGGTGTGCGTGCAACACCATTGACTGAGGACCTCCCTGTGGTCTTGGTGACACAATGGTGGAAAAGCAGACGAGGCGCCTGCTCTCATGGGCCTTAAATTCGGCTAGAGACATTGGTAGTGATAGCTATAAACAGTACCCAGTAAGGGCCAGCCGAGTGGTTCAGTTGGTTAAGGGCTCCCTCAAGAGTGTGAGCTCTGAGCAACAGGGTCACCAAGTTTGATTCCCGGCCTGAGCTGAGCTGCCACTGAGCTGCCAACAGGTTGCAGGATGGCTCAGCTAAAAACAAAAAAACAGTATCCAGTAATTTAAATAGGCCACAGGAAGGGTTATGTGATAATGGTGCCTGATTTGGTGGAGGGGTGTTCTATATAGTCAGGTGATCAGGAGAGGCCTCTAGGATGGGGTAACATTTATCAGAACATCTTGTTCTAAATATAAGAAGGAACCATTCATGGGAGGGTGAGGAAAGTAAAGTCCATTCCTAGTAGAGGAAGGCCCTCAGGTTGATGGATTGGCATGCTCAAAGAAAAAAAAATCAGGGGGTTTGGAGAACTGTGGATGGGGGAGAGGGGCAGGAGCTGAGGTCAGAGAGGTAGTGGGGGCTGGGCCCCGAAGGCATTCGTAAACCAGGGTAAGGGTTAAATATTTTGTTCTAACTGCTATGGAAAACCAATGAATGACTTTAAACCGGGGATAACTTTAAACGGGGCATAACTTAAAAAGGATGATTCTTGCAGCTTGACAGAAAGTAGATCATAAGGGAACAGGGAGGTGGTTTAGAAGACTGGTACAGTGGTCCAGATAAGAGATGGCAGTGATTTGAACAGAGGCTACATGAGTGAAGGAGAAAAGTCAGTGATTTAGGGATATGTTTTGGAAGTAATGTCAATAGGAATTGCTGAAAGATTGGCTGTGGGGAAAGAGAAAGCAAAGAATTGAGGATGACTCTTAGGACCTTTGCTTGAACAACCAGAAAAATGGGTTAGAAAAAACTTGGGGAAGAGATGATTTGTGGGCTGTGGGGTAATCAAGAGTTTTACTTTTGAGTTTGAGATGCTTATTAAACATCCCAGTGGGGGTGTCCTATAGCCAGCTAGCACTCAGGGGACAGGTTACTATTTTAGATACCCATGGGACATAACGAAACCCAATATATTGTTTTATCAATCCCAAGACAGAATTTTTCAGCAACTGCTTCTTTTTTATATAAAGGACTTGTTGTATAAAGGACTGGAAAGGGGGAAGAAACACCATTTCCAGATCATATTAGCCCCTTTTATTCAGAAAAAAAAAAGGCCATTTCTAGATTCCAAAGTACAAGAGCGTTCCCTTGTTTTCATAGTAAGCCATATCCTCATCTGCAAGCGTTCTGGGCTGGAGATGGCTGCTCTACACATTTTCACTTTCTGTACAATGGCAACCTAAAGTTCCTGACCCTCGTGTTGCCTAAAGTTTGTATTGTTAAGATTAAACCAAATGCAAAAGCAAACAGCAAGAAAGTCTTTGGATGGACTTGAACTTCCAGATGCTAACACAATGTTATTGGGTAATTGTGCACGAATGAAGACATCCTCTTAAACATCATGCCAGAAACTGATGTGAAGTCAAGGGTAACCATGGTGACTATTTCTAGAGATCATGAGACTGCAAAGGTCTCCTGGCTCAGGTGCCATAAGGCAGGGATAAATACTTGGCAGTTTAGGGGTCTCAGATATATGTGAAAGTACCTGGCGAGAAATGGAAGGTAAATTGAAATGGAATTCACAAGGGTTTTCCAGCTCTGAAAGTATGTGGCTTTATACCAAGGGTCTCCAATCATCCAATGACAAACTAGTAGATCTGAACCTCTTAAGTGCTGTGCCATGAATGCACCAATTGGGGGGCGGGGGACGGGGGGAGGCAGACCTTGGGAGAAACATTTCCTTCTCCCTCCTGTCCCCCCTCACATGCATATATGGAAAGACAGTGAGGGTTCATACTTATATCCATACTTGTTTTAATCAACTTTGGGAGACAGACAATTAGCTCCTTGTTGGAGAATATTGAGGCCCTATTTTCTGTACATATTGAGCAAAAGGGACAATTGTGTCTTGAGATAATTATCTCCCCAATTTTACATGAGTTAGCTTTGGTTATCTGGATAAATTAAGACAAACTGTTTCCTTAAACTGTCTCCCTTCCCCCGTCCTGAGTGTAGGAACAGCCCTAGTGACCTCAGTCCTGTACATATCACAGAAAAGAAAACAGAACCCTCTAGGAAGGGAAAAATAGAATGATTTACGTGAACACAGAAGAATGAACTATTGTGACAACTTCCTTTAAACACTCCCTTTGTGGCAGAACTGAGAAATGCCAGAACTCCGGAGGAACAAACCACTGGGTAACACCTTTCCTAGTCTATCAATAAAAAGGTTCTTTTCAAGCACCGAACAGCCCCGCCCAA